TGTGTTGTATAATTTTACAAACGTTTTTTCTTTTCTTATTATAGATATTTAGTTTTCTGGTGTTGTTGTGCTGGGACAACATAAACTTGTTGTGTGTTCTGTCAACCTTTAGTGAAGTCCATCTTCAAAAAGATATTTAATCTTTTCCCTCTTGATTCTTTTCCCTCTCTCATAGGATTTTAAGAAATACTTAGTATATCAAAATGTACATATTTATATCTTATAATGTTAAGAATTCACTGACTATATTTCTTCTGTAATTTTCATATAACTTATTTTTATTATTTTAGATGTCTTTGAAAGTAGTAGTTTTATGGTTTTAATACAATTTGGGATTAGAGCAGAACAATTCAGAATGCAGACTATTGCAGATGAATAAATGTTCAATTTACATTTTTTAAAAATTTAACTATGGCATGAAAGGGATGTACCTTTAGTAGAAACTGTATTTTGAATTGTGATACTTTTCCAGGATAGTGATATACTATAGTATACTTTCAGGATGCCAGGTTGCAGCCCTCAGTCAGTGGTGGGCTCAGGAGGGTGAGCAGTCATTTTTCTGCAGTTACTAACCTATGGTGGAGTAGGTTAAGTTTCCTAAGTGAATTTTCAAGATATTTTTGGTTTACAATGGGCTTATCAGGATGTAACCCTAGCAGAAATTAAAAATTATCTGTTCAAACAGACCCAGTTTTGATCTTTGACAGTACCAATTCTTAGTTCTGTGACTTTTGTTGAGTTCCTTTCCTACAGATTTTTTACCAACAAAGTGAAAAAAATATTCTTTTCTATATCAAGTTCTGAGAATTAAACCAGTTCATTCATGTAAAGCATTGTTTACTATAATACAGATCAAAATACATTTTATTAATGATACTAGGTGAAATAGTCATTGTTTTCAAATTTTTTGAGTTAAATTTTTAATCAGTTGTTCAATAGGAAAGCTTCAAGGTTATAATCTCAGGGAGTATGTTATGAATAATCAAGTCTTTTTTTTTTGATAGTAGGGATTGAACCCAGGGGTGCTTTATCACCAATCTACATCCCCACCCTTTTTTATTTTTGATTTTGAGATAGGGCCTCACTAAGTTAGTTGCTGAGTCTGGCCTCATACCAGGGATATTCTCCTTCCTCAGCCTCCCAAGTCATTGAGATTGCAGGTGTGCATCACCACTCTGACCAGATAATCAGTCTTTTCTGTATTAAAAGAGTTGTAGGGTTTTGGAAGTAAGAATGGGACGATTTTACTCTTTGGGCCTAAATTTCTACTGAGGTGGCAAACTGAACTTTTGATCACGCATTGGACTTTTACTGTGACAGTTAAGCCCTGCTAATTTTTATTTGGAGGAATAACTTGGGTGTTTTCAATCTCTGAAATGGAAAGCATCCTTGTTAATATTCAGGAATGCACATTCTGTACAGGAAAATATGCCAGTGGGGGACCCTTGGATATTTGCTGTTCAGACAAAAGGAACATCTATTATTACTTTTTAGGTATCACATGCTAATGAACTAATATTAAAAATGTATCACTTCATGTGATAAACAGAAATCCCAGAGTTAAAGATAAATTGTCATCTCATGTAATACATAAATAAAATAATGACTAGGACCATTGCACATATCCCAATATGTTTTATGCTTTGATGCAATATTTCCTTTCAAGGCATATTAATTAGATATTGAATTGGAATCGAGAAGTCATTGAGTATATTGGAAAATTATCTAATGTGGCTATGTTTTTGTGGTTATGACCCATGTCTACAATTCATAATAAGTATAAAAGTCTCTGAACTCACTGGTCATGGTGGCACATGCCTGTAATCCCAGCAACTCAGGAAGCTGAGGCAGGAGGATTGCAAGTTCAAGGCCAGCCTTGGAAATTTAATTGAGGCTATGTCTTAAAATAAAAAGGACTGGGAAGTGGTTAAGTGCCCCAGGTTCAATCCCTGGGACCAAAATTAAATAAATAAATAAATATCTCTGGACTCTTCTATTGTATCACTTTTGTATGTCTTATATTTTACTTCTACTTGTTTAATAACTGGTGATCATTCCCTTTAATTACTATAAATTACAGATAGCAGGAATAAGTAGTACTTTTAAAAAATCATTAATAAGATATGAAACGATTAGTACTTGTCATGTTAACTACTTTGGCAAAAAGTAAAACATAAGTAAAAATTAAACCACATACCTGTCACCTGGGAAAATCTCAATAGAATTCATATTGTATATATAATAATAAAAGAAAGTGCACATTGACATTTACTGAGACTCCATGATACATCAGTCCTTTGTAAATGAAATTTCTCCTTACAAAAGGAAAATTTGTATCCTGTTAGAGTTTTTCCTGCAGCAGCTAACTCTCAAATGGCCATTAATGAAAGACCCATAGTTTAGAATGGCATATTCTGGTACCCTTCCCTGCCTTTTTCTTTAAAGTAGTTATGCTGCACAGAAAAATCCCCTCCTTCCTTCTTGAGTTCCTTAAACTGAACTGAGAAGCTCATGTAATGATACTGAAATATGTAGTATACATTTTCTTAACTATTTTTATTGCCACCTTTACTATTCAGAGACTAAATATTCAGAATATAAATTCTGTGTTCATTAAAGTGATATTTTTTATTTATTCAGTGGTTGAGTAAAAGTTCTTGAAGATATGACTATGGGCAGGGACTATTTGCTGGGGGGTGGGAACTTAAAAGAGCCTGACTGGATTTGGGTCAAGAAGAGAATCTTCGTCTTGCCAGTGGGTTACAAAGTTGTAGGGGACTATTTGAAAGAGACCACTGAGGTGGTCACTCTCAATTCATAGGAAAAGAGTTATGCCCCATGCTGCCAACCCCACCCAGCACTCCCCTTAGGGTTTGTGATAAATGTAGTTAATGTTTCTGAAGGTGCGCAAGCAGCCCTGGGAGCTGGGTGCCTGGAGGACCTGAGCCTTTCCCTTCAATGCTCTATCATGCTGGCCCAGCTCTGAATCCAAGTGTGGATTCTTGGGAGGGGAAAGACAGGAGATGTCTTGTATTTCCCTGAGCTCATGGGAAAAGTTGAGCATCTTGAATTAGGAAGAAATCCACATTCCAGGCATGTGAAAAAGTGCAAGGAAGCTAGCTGAGGGAGAAGAGGTCTAAATGGCTGGCACGGACAACCAGCCATATTGTATGTACACTGAACTGAGAGTAGTCAGGGATGTTTCCATAAAAAGAGTGCATTTGCCTACAAATTTTAACTTTAATCCAACTAAATTTATGACTTTAATCAAATTAAATAGTAAATAATGTATATAAAAATAGTAAATAATAAAAAGTAAGAAAATGTTTTCAATGGTGATTTCATAACTCATTTTGACTCCCCTTTAAAGTGGTATCCATTTCACTAAGCTTTACAGGATGTAGCAGATTATCAGTGGGTAATTTTGGAGAAGAGATAATTTAGTGAGTTGGCCTCCAAAAAGTAAGTGTCTATAGAAGGCAGTTTATTTTATAATTTTCAATGATCATGTTTGAAATATTTGAAAAATATCAAGTTGGATTTGTCCTTTAATTGTTAATTATGTAACTTTTATGATCCGTATTCTCCATTCATCTGATTATTGGAAGAGTTTTCAAAACATTGGGCTTTCAGATAGATTAAGCTTTTTCACTTCCCTGTAATAAAAGGTATTCTTTGCAATTTTAAAGCTCAAGTGTCCATTTCTGTTAGTGTTTGTGTTAGGATATAACAGCCTCGAGTTTATAACCTGGATTCTGAAAGGAAACTGTAGCAACAGTGGGTTGCTAAGCAAGTGTCTCAGCTAATTAAACAATGTACCTAGAATCATTCTGACCACCTGTGCTGCTCACCCATCATGAATCATTTAAAAATGATGTTCACTTTTAGGTTTATCAAAACTTGCATTAGAAATAAATGAAAGTATAGATATCTTGTTTTCCATAATTAAAAAAGAAAATAAGAATTAAAAGATACAATTGTTTAAAAACTGTTTGAATCACTAACAATGAAATACAATCATACCAATTGAGGGTTTCTGTCCAATATAATAAATCCTGTATTTTAGTCAGATTGCAAATTGTAGCTCTCTTTTTTTTATACAAATCAGTAGAAATAGGCACAGTTTAGCATTTTCCTTTCGTAGGCATTTTCACCCTGTTTTCGCTTTTCAAAATAAAATCAAGACAGAAGGAAGCCTATTTAACTTATCCAGATTGCAATTAATTTTGCTACTTGGATGTATTAGAAAATGGGAGCTAGACCCTCTAGAGAGAGTTGTAAAGTGTAGTCATGGACCAGGTCCCAGACTGTTTAAATAATTATTTTTCTGTTTAGAGATACATCAATGATTTAAAACCAAGGCAAGGAGTGGGGAGCAGGAAGTAAGTGAGTAAGTGTATATAGACAAGGAGCCATTTAAAGCCTGACAACTGCATCCTATTACATATTCCAATTATGCTAATTCTGTAAGAATCCAGTCTTCATTTCCTGCTAATTTTCATCCTCTATATGTCATTTTTTTTCATCTTGTTTTCAGAAATCTGCTCCTTGAATAGAAAATCATCTTTCTGTAAACACTTAGCCAAGAAGTACTTGACTTTAACTTAATTTCATTAAACATGTTTGGAAGGGAAGTAAAATCTCTGTGATGGACAAGTCAACTAGTATCAGTGATTTAGATCATCAAATTTCTTTTATCAAATCAGTTTTTCCCTTTGGCCATCTGATGTTTTATTTTGTATTTCAATCTTTTATTAAATATTATTGACTCTCAAATATATTTGACTTTCTTGTCCTTGAATAATGTGAAAAAGCTTAAAAATTTCAAAATATCTAGAACCATTGCATGTTAAAAGAGCCTGGTATCAAAATGTTACATGTCAAACGATGGAGCTCTCCTGCCGTCTCCTCAGGACTCTAATACATTAGCATCAGGACACCCAGAATGTGCTTTTTTGCATTTAGCTCAATATGCTCTTCTTTCTTATCTTTTTATGTAGCTGGAATGCTTGCTGATTCCTCTGCAAACTTCTAAGACTGAGACCCTGAGGAACCCAGCTAGACAATGCCGTCTGAACGCTGCCTCAGGTATACACTGTAGGATGACATCCTTGCTTCATCTATTGAGCCCTGAAATGGTCACACTGCACATTCCAGGACCAAGTACAGAGCAGAGGCTGAACACATATTTGAAGGAATAAACCAACCAGTGAAAGCTTTTATGATTTTGGTGTGATGGCACAGGTCTAAACACTAGCTGTTGGTCAATAACCTGAAGAATTTTCGTGGTTCTTTGAATGCTATTACTTTTTTTTCTTTTTTTTTTCTTTTTTTTTTCTTTTTCTTATTTGCAATAATAACTTCCCTCAAACAAAAAGTACACCACCACAAAGGTATATGATTTTTTCAAACAATTCAGAAAACTATGCACATGTATGAATATTATCCCCAATGAATATGGCTTTAAAATGATTTAAAGCAATCACGTTGGGGAGTGCAATGCTTACTCTCAACATCTTGATAACATTTTCCTTTAATAATTCACTTTTTAAATAGATACTTATTGAGCCAAGCACTACTTGGTTCAGAGGACCCGGCTATGAATAAAACAGATAAGGTACCTGCCCTCATGAAACGGCTATTCCATGGAAGAAATAGACATTAAATAATCACACCATCAGCAATGAAAATATAGTTGTGAAAAAATGCTCTGAAGGAAAAGTACAGGATAAATACAATAAGAATGCCTTTCTGAGGAAGTGCTCTATGACCTGAGATCTGGAGTGGAAGGAGTAGCTTGGCATGTTCCAGAAACAGTGGGAGCCAAGAGAGTGCACTTGGCATATTCTCATTGGAGGCAAATCTTTATCATCCTCAAGGAAATAGTCAAAAGGTCTTCAGAGCAATGAATAAGACATGTGATAAACATTAAGAATACGTTTTAATATTAAGAATTGAGCATGTCTATTAAATAATGATACCAGCTTTTTTCCATGACTTTGAAGTTATTAAAGGTGACTAGTTCCAAGAATGTGTTCAGAAATGCTGGCATTGCTATAGCAAGTGTAATGCCTCTGCTCTTCCCACATGAGTCTGCTGCACTTGGTCAGTTTTACTCAATGGGGAATGAGGGTATATTGTGCAACATCTGGCAACATTTTGGGTTATCTACAGGAGTGGGGTATGATTGGCATTTAGTAGGTAGAGGCCAAGAATCCTGTTAAACATCATACAATGTATATGACAACTCCCCACAGCAAAAACCATTCTAGCTCAGAATGTCAGTAGTATTACAGTTGAGAAACCCTACCTGAATCTAGTCACCAACCAATATAGCACATGGGGACTATGGTATCTATTTGCCACCACCTCAGCCAAGACATTTATTTCTGATTACCATTATCAGTGTGCATTCTCAAAATGATGCTGACGTTCAATTTGTCATTCCTGTTTTTATTAACCAATGTCCATTCTAGCATCATCTGTCATCTATAGTACAACATCTCATCTCTATTATAATGTTCTCTCCTGTTATGCTTTGACCCAGAACCCTCCCTTCTCATCTCTTACTCTTCCATCATGTCAAGTAGAATTGTTTGTTGCAACATGATTAAATGTTCAGTTGTATCAAGTCCCCCATTCCAAAAGCTCTGTTTACCTCATGACTTCCTTGAAACTGTTCTCCCTGAGGATCGCTTCTCTTGTAGCCCTCTCAAGTGGCAACATTATTTATTTTATCACATTCCACATATTTCAAGGATGAGTGGAGAGATTGTTCTCAGCTTTGTTTCTAAATCATTAATCCTTAGCCGAGTTGTTCAAGAAGACCATGACAAAGACATGCTGTTCTGAAGGTAGTACTCTTGAGCTCTCTTATTCGATTCTCTTCCTCACTTTAGTCAAGGTCATTTTCCCTTATTCACTGAGAACCCTGGCACCTGGCTTGCAGCTTTCCCTTTATAACCTTTCAGGGTCTTCAGTGTCAGCATGGAAGATCTCTTCAGCTGCATGGTCCTTGGACCTTCAACCTGCTTGTCTCCAAAAATGTTCTTCTCCTTCCACTGAACCACCCACTCCTATGGTCACACCTTGGGCCTTGTCATTTGTAATTGCTTCATTTTCAAAATCGATACACCAGCCACTTTACTCTTCCAGAACCTCCTCTCCTGGCTTGCTGATTTATTTACCCCCATTAGGACTGCACTGTGACATCACTACACTGTCTCACCTACTGGCCCTGCTATTTTGTTTTAACCCACAATCAAACATTTCTTCTCCTCATTTTCCTTCTTAAACAGTTTATATTCTATAACTCTTGCTAAATCCTTAATTTCTTGCATTCCTGATATTTTTCATGCATTTATCTGAAAAAAGCTCTTATTCAGATGAGCCACACTATCTGTATTTCACGCCTAAAAACATGCCCAGAGGTTTAGTATGTGTTTGTGGGCCACCTATTTATTCCTTGCTATTCAAGGGGCAATCTTTTTCTACAACTAAGCCCAATATTGCTTATCTGCTTTAAATTCCATCTTTCTTATTTTCTTGGTGACTTGTTTGTTATCAAAGTGTGTTCTTGAGACAGAGCTGTGCTTCTGCTACCCCTCTGTGCACATAAGCCATAGATTATATCTCTAGCCAAGACTTCTTTCTGAGCTCCATCCATGAATCAAACTATATATTTGACATCTGCTCTTGGGAGTCTTAAAGACAACTCAAACTTAACATGTCCCAAACCAAATTTATCATCTTCTTCTCTGCAGTTCAGATCCTTTTAAACTGGGAATAAAACAGAAATATAGGCATCTTCATGGTGACCTCCTTCCTTCTCACCTCCATATTTAGTCCATCACCAATGTCTCTATATTTCTCTCAGAATAGCTTTCAAACCCATTCATCTGGAACTCTATTCCCATACTCCAGTCCATGGTCCAAGTCCGTAACTCATCTGAACTATAGCTGCAGTCCAGAGCTGCTCTTGTCTAGCCTGGTCTCCCTTTCCTCTCTTGATACTGCAGCTTGAGTGACCTTTTCTGTGACTTCCCATGGCTCTTAGGATAACCTGACCAAGACACCCTGCATGAGTGGGCTCCAGCCTCTGCTTCTTTAGCCTCACCTATACCAGGCTCTCCCCTTTCCTCAGGGTTCTAGCCATTAACCATCTGTAGACACTGTGTAAGGGTCATTCTCCCCCATTCCACAGGATCATAGCATTTGCTGTTCTTTTGCCTGGAAAATTTCCTCTCATCCTTTTACCAGGGTTATTTATTATGTCCTTAAGCTTGCACCTCCAGGAACTTTAGGAAGGCCAGATTACTTGATTAATGTGTAACTGCCTAACTAAACTAGACTGCTGCCACATCTGAGTTTGCTCACTGTTTTATCCCTGCTACCAATAGGCTGAATAAATATTTGTGGGATCAATGAATGAGGCAAGGAAGGATACAAAACTGTTCATTTACAATTAAGTTCCTTTCTGTTTAGCATTTCTTAACCATTCTCCATGATCTCTTTTTGCTATTATAATGGCCATTGCTATCAACTGTAGAATCATAAAAATTTATAAAATATTTCATAAAAAATAAGATTAAGTTCCATTACTTTTAGCAGCCTGCCCAGATAAATAAGTAGGATTATTTTTGTATTAATGTAAGGAAAAAGAAAGGATTAAGGCTGTTTATACTACTTGGCTATTTTTGACATGTAAGAGTATAACATCTTATTGGGACCCTTACTTGAAGACTACTGGCATGTTCTTGTATATAGAAGTAGTAGGCAAACACTGATATAGAAATTCAGTTGAATTTTCAAATTTGAAATGCAGATGTTTAAAACCACATAGCCATTTTGGAATTTATAACATAAAAAGTGATAGAACTCAGTCAATTTTATTCTATGAAAATGAGACCCTGTGGGATTTCTGTGATGAAAAATATTCCCTTTTTGAATGGAGTTAGTGACTTGCACTAATGCAGTGACTTGCTGTGAGTAGGGTGTACATTGTTATGAATTTTGTGCTCTGCATTCAATTTATCAGTTTTTGCCATCCATCCAAGAATGAAGGTTATAGGCTTAAAGTCATGAATACTACTATTCCCCAAGACCTCACTTATTAATCTCCCCATTACTGATGCTGACATACAGTCAATCAAGTGGTTGCTCCCTGATGTTACTAAAAAGCAATGTGTAGCTCAGGGAGTCTAGGCTTCTCACTGTTGCACCAGGCCCAGCCTCGGCTCATGAGCCTGATTGGGGTCACTGGAAGTCCTAGTAGGCTTCAGATGAAAAGAGATAAAGGAACATAGCTTTCTAGGAACTTCCCAATAGAACCATAATAGGAAGCATATATAATTTGAAGTAGTCACATTAGAAAAAAAATGGTAAAAAGCAACAGGTCAAATTAATATTAATTAATTTATTTTATATAAACAGGTCAAATTAATGTTAATTAATTAATATATTTTATATAAACCAAATATACCCAAACTATAATAATTTAAACATGTAATCAATATTAAAACATTAATGAGATATTTTTCATTCTTTTTTCATACCATCTTTGACATCCTGTATAGATCTTACACTAACATCACATTTTAATTTGCGAGCCACCTATGGAGCTATGTGTGACTAGTGGCTCTCATATGAAACAGTGCAATTCATTGGGTTCTTGTATAAAAGGACATTGGAGTTGCATTGGGTAAGGCAGGCCATAGAAAAGGACACTGAGTTGCATTGGGTAAGGCAGGCTATAGAAAAGGACACTGAGTTGCATTGGGTGAGGTAGGCCACAGCACTACCTGTGAATTTTGAGGTGGCAACAATTCTTTCATGGAACATTTTTCTCAGAACTTGATTGTTCTCCTTTGACACTCAAATCTGTATTCCCTTGAGAAATATAGTTGCTTCTTCATGTATTTTTCTAGGAATTAGGAAGTTTTAGGATATGTTTTTTTTTTCTTTTGTTTCCCAGATAGTAAAAGGAAATTCCTCTAAATTGAATGGTGTAGTTTGCTAATTTGATGTGTTATAGATGCTGACAGAGAGCTAATCGCAAGTAAGTATCTGCTCATCAGTTAATTAAAATTTGGTACATGGCAGACTTTGATTCCTCTCCTCCCTGGCTTATGATTATTACTTGGTAAAGTGGGCTTGTCACCTTCCAGCAGTGTTCATTGGCCACATGCTCCTTTACACTGGAGGGTTGAAGTCTTTTGCAGATTTGTATCTGAGAATTGAGTGGGAAGTTACTTTCGGAATACAATATTGACTTGTTGATTAGTGGGCCTTTATTTCTTGCCAAATGTTGGAGTATTTGTTTCTGCTTTTAAAGATTTCTAACATATTGGTTCCAAAATATTTGGGATCTTGTGCCAAGTGTTGTCTTAAATATTTAGCTTGTTATTTTCTTTAAGCTTGAATATTTCAAGCCAAGCTGAATGATCCTGTGAAATTGTGCAGCATCACTATTGTTTCAAAGTGGAGACCTTTCTCCTTTGCCAAATTTCATTTTACAGCTGCTCTTTTCCTGGCAAAATTTATTTATTCTCTACATATATATGAAATACAAATACTGATTTAGGCTTAATAATAAGGACATGCATTGTGGCACTATATTTGGAAAATGAGTAAGGAAACATTTTAAGGAAATTTTTTTAATATATTCTATTCCATGGCTAGTTAAATTTTAAAAAGTCCATTTATTTAGTATTTAAGAGATAGAAAGGGGGAAAAATTCATGAAAGTTTTAAATACATTTTCTAAGATTGCAATAAAAATCTACATTCTAGCTCAAAACTTTAAGTCACAGTATAAAAATTAATGTTTTTGAAGCATGATTTCAAACATCTATGATCTCCTGTTATTATATTCATGTATATTATTCTAAAGGGCTGATTTTCTGATTATTATGCATAATATAAATATAAAATTATTTGGGACTTTTGTACCCTTTGTCCCCCTCAGGCATACATTTTGGAGCTCATATTTACAGATTTTTTTAAGCAAAAGAAGGAATAACTCTCAGTGTTATGTTTTCAAAATGTCTGCTCTCAGGCTGGGGTTGTGGCTCAGTGGTGGAGTGCTTGCCTGGCATGCGTGAGGCACTGGGTTTGATCCTCAGCACCACATGAAAAATATAAAAAGTATTGTGTCCATCTACAACTAAAAAAAATTAAAAATTTAAAAAACAATTCCTGCTCTTGAACTTTGGGTTTTTTTTATCTGTAAAATAGAGCTAACAATACTACCTGCATCCTAGGGCTATTATGAAAGTTGAATGAATTAATAATTATAAATCTCTAAGAAGAGTTCGCTGAATGTGGTATAAGCATTGTGTTGGTTAAATACACAAAAGTATCATCCTTTTAGGAAAGATTTTTCAAAGACTTTCTAAAGATGTAGTTAGCTGTTATAATTTTTCTGTTACCATTCTGTTTCCTCATTTCTTTAACTGAATGAGGACGATTAATCTCCATTCTAGGCTTTACATAGGAACTTATAAAAATTATTTATGTTTCTGAACATGGTTTTCAATTACTGATTTTAAGTGTTCCTAGAGCTAGAGCCACTAGATGATTGTTCAGTGACAGTTACCATTTCAAAACTCACTGCCACATTTCAACTAAAAACAATCCACCCACCTTCCCACGAGAGCTTCCTATATCATCACCTTCTGTCAAGTTATTCTCTTTCCACAGTTCTGACATTTCTGAGGCTTCCCAGTTGAAAATGTCCAATAGAGCTTACTGCCTGCACTCTGGAATTTCATGGGAAGCATTTAGTTAGTTTTAAGGTGGTGATTTGTGCTTCATGTAATGTACCAGGCAACCGGTGCACCTGCTGGGCAGAACCCTGTCAATAAACCAGCCATGAAGGCAAGGCTGGTGGCCACTCTGTGCTTTTCCTGAGCAGCCCTTGTACACTGAGTAGGAGGGACTGGATGCAGGAATTATCAGCACAGGAGAGGCAATGCTCATCCATCCTTTTGCTGTCTTTACCCTGCTTTAAGTAGAATTTGCTGTCCAGAAACAGGGTTTCATAACCTGTAGCTCTTTTTTTCCCCTAATCAGCATTTGCTCACTTTTCCTGCATTTATTAATGAAGTATTATGTCTTGAGGGGGCACATCTTAAGTTACAAAGCTGGAGAAAGAATCAGTTAGAGCAGGAGTCACAGATTGGAAAGAGTCACACACACACAAACACATCAAGAGCAAATTTTGTACTCAGAGGTGTACATGCAGAGGGGATCAGGACCTAGAATTAGGCTCACAGATCCAGGAAATGGACTAATAGGAAGACACAGATGGATGGACACACATGAACACAAACTTAGAAAGAGGGGCACTAGAAGGAGATAAAAATATGAGACAAAGGAAAGAATCAGAGAAAAGAAAACAAGGACATAGCACAGGGCTGGGATGTGGCTCAGTGGTAGAGCACTTGCCTAGCATGTGTGAGGCACTGGGTTTGGTCATCAGCACCATATGAAAATAAGTATAAGTAAAATAAAGGTATTGTGTTCATCTACAACTAAAAAATATTTTTTAAAAAGAACATAGCACAGAGGGGATTTAAAAAAAAAAAAAGTATGAACGTGAAGGTCAAATTCAGTGCACTGGAAGCCAAGTTCCTTCCATCAGGGTGGAAAGATGGGATAGCATCCAGGAAGCAGGGCTGTTGAGAGGAAAAAAGTTCACTTGATTGTTCTCCTTTGTAGTATTCAAGAAATGCTGACAGGCCAGAGGCTCTGCCACTCAGAATCTCACAATGACAGCGTCCTGGCAGCGCTGAATCAGCAGAGAAGTGACGGCATCCTCTGCGATGTCACCTTGATTGCTGAGGAACAGAAATTCCATGCTCACAAGGCAGTCCTGGCAGCATGCAGTGACTACTTTCGGGTAAGTTAAGGTAGTTTGTTTGACTTAGGATATCAGTAAACCAAGAATGACAGTGTTTCCTGATCTGTCACTCAAGCATGAACCAACTAGAATGTGTCTCCAGAATTGCAAATATTGGTCACGTATGTTTTTTCCCTGGGAAAAATGAGATCTGGGGGCCCATTGAGATACATCCATATCTGGATACATGGCTGTTTGTCCCTATGGAGGACAGAGATGTCTTTCACATCTGAGCCAAGGGGTATCTGGTACTTTACCCTCATTAGAAAATGTGGTATTGTAGTTCTCCATATGGGGGTGTGGGCCAGGGGAGGGATGTTCCTAGATTAAGGACAAGAACAATCTGTAAAACAACTTCTTTTTAAAGAAGTTCCTAAATAAATGTAGTGTTTCTGATTTTTGTATATTTTTATGCATGCTCTATATTTGTTGCCGATGTTTTCTAATTATTCGCTCCTGGCACAGAATTGCAATTGGTCTCATAAAACACATGTGACTGAGTAAGATATATTGTTTTGTTTAGTAGAACTCGGGAGTTCGATTTCCAGCTACTAATGATATGTAGGCTCTGATGATCTTTTTGGGGAGAAGAAAGTGTATAGTATGTTTATAGCTGATTAAGTGCCATTCATTTAGCATTTCCTGTGCTTTTGGCAGACAAGGACTTTATATGCATATCTCATTTAATCCTCATAAAACCCATCGTTCAAATGCAGATGAGTACTATTAAAATCACCATTTTATGTGTAAGGAAACTGGATCTCAAAGGTTAAATAATTTGTAATAAATCAGAAAGTAAATAACAAGTCATACAGTTCCTAATTGGCAGATACGAAACTGAAAGTCATGTTTAATTCTTATGCTATTCTCTCTCTTATTTGATTATAAAAAGGACAACCTGGAAAATTATTAGCTAGGTACTGATTTTTTTGAAGTATTAATTCTTAAATATTCATTTTTAGGTTCTTATAAAATTTATTTTTAATGTTACTTTGTTAATTTGTGACCAATATTTTTGAAACATAATAAGTCTATATGCATGGGAATACAGATTTAATTGTGATTTGTTTTTTAAAGTCCTTCACCAAAGTCTCTAAGTGATATAAAAACCAACCCAGACTCATGGAAATCCTTTGGTTAATTTGGATATTTCCCATAATGATTTTGTGTTTCATGTTTAGAGACAACATCAACTGCACTCCATTGCAACTAGTAGTGTTAGAGAATTTTCAAAGATTCCAAATGATAAAAGAAATCCTTTTAAATGTGACAAAACTGAGTAATGTTAAGGAAAAGAGGTAATTAATTGAAATTTCTGTTTCTAGAATAAAAAAAATAGGGATTTGATTCAAAACTCCAAAATGAAGCCGAGTACTTTATCTGTGAAGTGACCTTTTAGTTCAGTTAATATAGTGATCCATGTATGTACTCTCACATTGTCAGGTATTAGTCTTCCAGAGAAGTTTTATTATTCAGAGGGTTTTTGAAACAATAAAATACTTTGAATTGTGTGCATGTTATGTAATATGAGTTTTGTCATCTCTTAGACTATAATATAGTCTTCTTGGTGCTTAACTTCTGTCCACTTAGATCTCTGCCTGTTGGGTTTTTAATCTAACTTTTTTATTTTTAATTAAATTATTTAATTGTATTTTTTATTCTTCTTAGTTATATATGACAGCAAAATCCATTTTATATTTAGGACCCCCTTCTTATGGATATACACAATGGTGGGATTCACTGTGGCGAATTCATACATGTACTTAGGAAAATTATGTCAGATTCATTCCACTGTCTATTCCTATGTACATATATAAATATACCACAGTGAATCTCACAATCATGTACATGTGTGGACAGTAACTAAAAAAACACTATAAGTAAATAATAGGTCAGTAGAATAGAGAGAAGGGAATCGTGGGTAGGAGGAAGGAAAGGGAAGGGGAAGTACTAGGGACTGAATTAAAACAAATTATATTCCCTGTTTTTATAATTATGTCAAAATGGATCCTATTATCATGTATAACTAAAAAGTACCAATTAAAAAGAGCCGGTTGTGTTGCTATACTGAATAGATTGTGGTATAGGAGAGGATCAATTGAGCTCAGGGAATAGCAATCTTTTTTTTTTTTAAAAAAATATTTTTAGTTATAGATGGATACAATGTCTTTATTTTATGTGGTGCTGAGGATTGAACCCAGTGCCTCACACTTGGTAGGCAAGCACTCTACCCCTGAGCCACAACCCCAGCCCCGGAATAGTGATCTTTTATGATGAGTAGTCAATATGTCCACCCTTTGCTCTGGAGTGAGACTTCATCATACTGGACAGTAAGCATTCCCACACTTCACTCTGCAGAGATACTATATCAAGAATTTTGAGCAAACCTGCCCTATGCTCTGGACTTTTATAACCCTCTGTCTTTCAAGGCTGTTGGCTATAGAAACATACTTGAAAATAGAATTCAAAACAAAGGATAGTCATTGGTCTATTCACAATATATGCAGAAATGCTAGAGACCTTTGGAGAACTGTTTTCCAACAGCCACATGTCCTGGACTAGAATTATATTTGTTTCCTTGTGTCTTGTGCTGTACCCATATAAAACCTAGAAACAATATCCTGTTGTACTAATTTCTGAGTATCTCATAACAATGATAAAGTTGTCTTTGTAAATCTCTTTGTAAGTGATCAATAAATATTTATTAAGTGAATGAAGAAATGTTTTCTAATTATCATAGAGTTCCATGTATATTTCAATTCTTAATATCTTGAGTATTTAAAATATACAAATGACTCTTGGAGTTTTCCTTCTAGTGTAATCCTTTGAAGTTAATTAAGTACTTTGATACAAGTTACATTTTTGTACTCCATACTCTGATATCTAGAAAATTATTTTAAAGCTTAAGTACTTCTTGTTCTGTTCAAGAAGCTGGGACTCTCAGAGGGAGAAGGCTCAAACTTTGATGTAAACCATTTTCTTATATTGGTCTGAGAGTTAACATCAGTTTTTCTTGCTTAAAATATGAATAATGAATGAGCAGTTCAGCACAAAGTACTGTGACTTCCTGTGATCATCAACATTTTAAAGGTTTAAAATCACATTCTTGAGTAAAAAATAATGACTTTAAGAATTAAGATTATCGACAATTTCAATTGTGTGGGCACAGCATGGCATTAGTCAGATGCTGTAACTGAATCACAGCAGGAACTTCTTTTCTGAGAGAGCAGAGCAGTGGTAAAAGAAGAAAGGAATAGACTTAGAAGTCAGGTCTGAGTTTGAATCAGGGACTCTACCTGTATCTGTCTGTTCGCCATTGTTTCCCACCATGCTTGGCAAATAGCAAGTTTTCCATTAACAACGTTTTCTGAGTAATTCATCCTCTTCACCATCTATGCTACGAATACAGGAAGGTCTTTTTATTGCTGTGCACCTTTTGTTTTTTAAATTGATCTAAATTGATGACCATCAAACAGAGCTCTCTAATGGGTTATATAGAGATTTAAATGGGAACAAATAAGGTAAATAAATCACTCAGCTCAGTGACTAATGCACAGCTGAATTTGAATAAACATGAACAGTGTCTCTTCTTTGGCTAACCTGTGACTCTTGGCTGTGCCATGCTTGGGTGTTAGTGGGAAGAAAGTTCAATTCATCTTTATGCTCAGCTGGCCACAGCTTCACTCACCTTTTGATTTGCCAGAATAACCTTTGATTCCATCTTTTCCTGTCTTTTCACTTTTTAATCTGACACCCCTTCTCTCTTCTTAGAACATTCCTGTAACCACTTATCTTTTCTTCTCCTCTGATTGTTCCTTTCTAAATCCTGGTGCAGGACTGTGTGATTTACTTCCACCTGACTGTCTGCTGCCAGACCCCTGGGATGACCTTCCAGACCTTTAGGTATCATTCATCTGACCCTTTGTTGTCTTTTGCTCATTCAGTGTGGTGGCAACACCATTCTCCAGATACCTCTGGATCTTTGCACTCTCAGCTTTGCACCTGTAATTTCCTATTGGCTTCTCAATCTACTCTATCTTCTAAGGTTTATCACAGCCAACAACAAGGGTACTGGCATGCACAATACCTGATCTTAACCATCCTCTACTTTTCCCTAAAGTCATATGTAAGGTACTCCCTTTATCTCCTTCAAAGAATTAAATATTATGTACTATGGGTTGTGGTCACTTTGCCAGTAACATTTCTGAGGGGGACTGTGACTAGCCAAGGACTAATAAAGCCCATAAAAGTACAGTTGAACACAAGTGAATTGAATCAGATATAACAAGAGAGTTAGGGGCCTTGTGATCTAGAAAGTGTGTAAAAGGTGAGCCTTTTATCCCTTATTTTTGGAAGCCCCATTGACCCTTGTAGGGAGCATGTAAATTTCAGGGCTCCAACATGGGCATCCCTGGGCTACAGGCTACCCTGTAGGTTCTGAAAGCTGTTGTTTTATATCTGCTGTCTCCAGCTTAAATCCCCACGAACGCCTGCACTTTCTGGCCAAGGAAGCAGATGTCTTGGCTATCTAATGTAGCTTCATATATGTGTTGGTAAAGTGATTCAAATATGACATTTGGAAAGTTAAATATTTGAGCTTCTTTTTCTGTTAGAGCCAGAGTGTACTTCTGCCTGTGTAATTTTTAGACTTGAGAGAAGGGCATCAAACCATGATATTAAAAAGCAAAATCTATGTGCCATGCATTTCTGTAATCATATTCCCTAGTCATTACTTCATTGAATGGCATAAAAGTCCATTATTATATAATTAGAAATAATTTTTTTTCAATTCAATAAGTATTTGTTACATACCTGCTATTTTCTAGACACCAAATGGATTCATAGTCTGTTGGGAGATACAGATAAGTGAACAAATGACTGCTACATAATGTAATTGCTTACAGGATTTTGAGGTTTGGAATGGTGTTTTAGGCTTAAGCTTTGCTTTTGTCCCTCAGTATTCTCAATCGTTAATAACAGTAATAATAACTACCATTAAT